AAAGAAGCCACGATTCCCTGCGCTAGCTGCTGTAGGTATCAGATCTGACTGGGCTCCTTTAGCAAGTAATTGCTCAACTTACATTTCAAACACTGGGCTCAACGAGGCATCCAGTTGAATCAGTTATGGAGCAGCTTCCTGATGAGACAGAGACAGTGAAGCTCAATTCTACAGTCAGCTCACTAATGACCTTCAACAAGGTTAGCACTGCACTGTCCTCTGATTTCAGCCTCCGCGAGCGCTACGTCTAATGATGCATGCATGACTGACAAACCCCATGTGGTTCTGCAGGTTGTAATTCACATCATGTGTTGATGAAGAGGTGCACCTACTCCACTAATGATGTCTTGTTAAATGTGGATGGAACCGAGACTTTTTCCATTTTGCAGTTGTCATAAGTCGGCCGTCTGGATGAATTGCAGAGAAATATCTCCCGGCTTCCTATCGAGCGAGGCCAAAACAGAGCGCATGGATTGTCCGGCGCGAAATGGCAGTTGTTCTTCAGGGATCAGTGCGTTGACCAGGAGGGCCTCCCTCCCCTGGAGACTGTCATTTCTTCTAGGAATTCACAGAAGTGGAAGATGAAAGCCTTGTGTCATCGGCTCACCCAAAAACACCCAGCCATAAGAGTCTCAGCCAAGGCCAAGGCCAGAGAAAGAGACAGGGCTGCCATTTTAGCCGGCTCTGCTTCATAACTGCAGCGATTTATACCGATCAGATGTGACAGCACTCCATGTTGACTTTTTTTCTTGTTAATTGTTGGCGTTTTTCGTCTCAGTCCTTGTCCTGACATTTATAATCAGCTAAATAAAGAAATCAGATGTTTGTCTCATCCCCCCCCCCACCCCAGTTAAAGTATTACATTTAAGCAATAAGGTACAAGAGTCTGCACTTAGGCGTTTTTCGTCTCTGTCCTTGTCCTGACATTTATAATCAGCTAAATAAAGAAATCAGATGTTTGTCTCATTTCCCCCCCCAGTTAAAGTATTACATTTAAGCAATAAGGTACAGGAGTCTGCACTTAAAGGGATACTCCACCCCAAAATGAAAATTTTGTCATTAATCACTTACCCCGATGGCAGATGGACTATTCTGACGATGTCTTTCATACTTTTCTGGACCTTGACAGTGTAATTTACTTGGCAGTCAATCGGACAGTCACAAGTCTCCCGGTTTTCATCCAAAATATATTAAATTGTGTTCCGAAGACGAACGAAGCTTTTAGGGGTTTGGACCGACATGGGGGTAAGTGATTAATGACAAAATTTTCATTTTGGGGTGGAGTATCCCTTTAAGTCTGTTGTTAGTTACATAATTAGTGTTTTTAATATTTTTAATATTGCTTTACCAAGCAGTTTCATGAAGTATCATCTTTCTGCTAGAAAATGAAATGCGAACTAAGGTCAGTAGTAGGTCTGTATGAGTGTTGACCAGTGAAATAGATGTAAACTTTATTTTATCCATCAAAAAATTTGAAAAGTGGTCAGATCGCTTAAAAAAAAAGGAATTTGTGAAGTCAGCCTAAAAGTTACATTTTAAATAAAGATTATGAAGGCAAACATTGTTTTATTTTAAATTTGAGCATGACTGGAAATACATATTGACCAATCAGCATCCAAGAAAAAAAAACAAAAAAAACCTTTATATTATATAATTAATTAATTATTATTTTTTTTATTTTTTTTACAGCATATGTAAGTTTATATGCATCTTGTACAGAACTGCAAGTAGGTACATCTTAAAATGATTTTAGTTTTAGTTTGTAAAATTTTACATTTGTAGATTTTGTGGATTTTTTGTAATTACATTTTTATTTTTTCGACGTCTTCTTTTTTTTATTTTGAATGCATGGTTGTTTTTAGAGCAAGAAAAGACCAAAATAAGATTGCAGGGAGAAACTGGTCACAGACAAGAAATACTTTAATTAAATATTATGTAAAATGAACAACTTTGTACAATAAAATGTAGAAATGTGGCCATAAAACAACTCAGATAAAACCATACATGAGCCAGAAAAAAAGGCATTTGTTCTTACAGAGCTCATTTTTAGTGAATTCTTCTGAGTATGGGTACTTAATTAGACTAAAAGACAAAACCAGATTGCAGAAATGATGAAATCCACAAATGCACTTCACGTGACCTTGAGTTTTTCTTACTTTCAGGGTGACCTCACCGGCTCCTCCACTTGGCCGAGCTTTGTTGAGCCATCACAAAGCAAATACATTGTACATTCATCATTTATTTCCTTCTACAGCTGCCTTTGCTTCATGCAGCTAAAGGAAATGTGTGTGCCGATTGCCAAGAGGAAACATCCGCTTTTGGTTTGAAACAGAAAGTGTAGCACACTGCTGAACATTACAAAATTTACAAAGCCTGAAGTGCAAAGAAAAAGAGCTCAAAATGAAAGCCTCGAATAGAAAAAAAAAAATCACTGTGTTTCATTTGCGGATTTTGGCACGACTCGGAAATCAATGTCATTGAGAGAAAAAAAAAGTGTAAGAAGGTGATATGATTTCGGCTATGCTACGGTGTCATGAGTTACTTACAAAATGACATTTGCAATATAGAACATCTTCATCTTTGTTGTCCATATATGATACAAAAACTAACTTTTCATTTGTTTTCATTCCCTTTGAATGCTGTTTTACTTGAGGGAATAGGATAAAATTAATGTTAAAAAAGACAAACTGACAAAATAGTCCAAAAAGATGAGGGGTCACAATAATTATTTTTTATTTTAGTAAAAAATGTTTGTGCTTTTTACACCATTGATCTGAATGGAATAATGAGATTCACTGTGGTGTACGTTTGTCATTAAAACAGCAGAAAGGTTCCTCTCAGGAGATTCACTGGAAAGCCTTTGACAGAGCTTTTTTCTGACATATTTTAATAAACATTAGTAACTGATGTATATTTCCATTGCAGATATTTTTTTTTCCTTCTTGATCCCTGTAAACATGGTTCAGTTATGTGGCAAAGTCATGGTGGCAGGTAAAAATTACTTTTTACATTCTACAAAAACAAAATTTACAACCACAATTGGATTTCCCCCCCTGGGGCGGCTTGACATGCACTTTATCTACTAATATCATTACAGCCAGGTGACACAAACAATTTATATGACTATACATCAAACAGTTTTCTTTCAAAAAAGTACTTTTTTAGATAACTTAAAAATTAATATAAAAATAAACAATGGTTTTGACTGCTCCTCGAAATAGCAAACAAACAAACAAAAATGGACGGAGGGTCTAATGGCGTAAAAAAAAAAATCTGAATTACAAATGAAATGCGCAGATCTATCGGTACAAAACATCGAATGCAGGCGATGATTCTTGGCTAAACCTTCATCGTAATTTCGACCATGGAAAACAATTCAGGTGAGATCAAAGAAAATTATGGAAAGCAATATACAAAATTTCAAAGATAAATACAATATTTATAATTGATATGTTACAAAAAATTCCCTTAGTGACCGCAAGTGTTTGTGTGAAAGTGTTGCAATGTATAAGACCATTTTACTCCTAACTGTAGGAATAAAACTCTGTACTAAATATTTAAGTGAATCTGGAAAATTCAAGACAAGTGTATAAATATTTAGCTACAACTTTGGCAAAATCACAAAAGTCTACAATTGTATAACCACATACAAAACACATTAGGGAGTAAGGAGCTAGAGGTATAAGGACAACTTTCTGGTACAAGAAACAGACTTCACAGTAGCCTAAGAATGCAATAGTATACAGTGCTAGCAAAAAGTTGAAAAACATTGCAGATCACACTCGCTTTACAGGAAGCTTTAGCAGTGGAAATATTTTCTTTCTTTTTTTTTTCTTTTTTTGTCTTTTTTAACCAACAGACAGTAGCGCTTCGTCTCTGTTAGTGTGCTTGTTGAAGGCAAGAGAAGAGTTTTTGCAATATCAAAGTTACAACTTCTACCTACAATAAGTTACAAAGTTCATTTCCGCCGAACGAACTGAACGATAAGATCTCCTTTCCCGGTTCCTCGCATCGTTCCTTCTTCCTTGCCTTTCTTTTTGATTTATAAATCATATATCTTATATTATTTCCAGTTTATTGGCTCTGTATATATTGGCCCCCTTTTTATTACCACAATCAAAATTTAAAAAATAAGCAAAACAATAAACAAAAAATAATAATAATAAAAAAGGAAAATGAATTCACATTATGAAGATGTGCAGCGGCAGCACATCAGTGAAAGAGAAACATTCTTACACATTTTTTTTTATCAGTGTTTTCATCAAATGGCATATCCACAATGTTTCTTCCCACACATAGCAAGAACTAGACATAGCCAAGATTAAACCAGAAATGTTTATACAAAATAGGTACGTTTTGTTATTTTTTTTTTTTTCCCCTTCGAGATCGTGAAAATATGACAAGAGATTCAGTCAATAAAATGAAATTGTTCATGACGAAGTCGCTTGCATGTCAATTTCGAATAAAGCAAAGTGTCTTTTTCCTCTGAATAACAGAATTAGCTGCTGATTAACTTCATGACGAATGACGACTTCGAGGAGGATCCTCCGCATAACGTACTATGCTTCATCCCGGTGAGGAGACGGCTGCTTTACAAGGGAAGGGAGTGCAATTTACATGGGTGGGACCACCAGTCCGGACATAGCTGCAAGAGAAAGAGAAACAATTTTAGCACGGGAGGTC